CAGATCCACTGATCCTTCAACACGGAGCATCTTCAGAAGACAAGTTGATAAAATAAACTTAAAAAATCTGTATTGTTTGATACATAGTGAGTATTGAACCTAAAGCTCTGTATTGAATGGTGTGATACAGACACAAGTATCGTTGCACCCCTATTATATAAAATAAAACTATCTTCCACGGTTGGGTGAGCCTCACCTTTTCCTTCTTTGGTTTTGGCTTTTTTGATCGGCCCCTGCTGGGAGCTCAGCTGGCTGCTGCAGACAGATGTTGGCTGATCCACAGTGACCATCTCCACTGCGGCAGCCACGGCAGCGGCCACGGCGGTGGCAGATGCGCCTTTGAACGGGTTGTTGGCACTGAACTCGCGCCACTTGGCCCCTAACACCGTCATCATCTTTGACATGGGAATCTTGGGATTCTTCTTGGCAATGAGAGGCCTGAGCACAGCCACAGGGAGAGAGGAGACAACAGCAGCTTTATTATGTCACATTTCATTTCTGTCGGTGTGGTTTACTCTCCGCGCGGCACTGGAGGGAGCTGGGACTTGATTTGTTGACACCGCGCTGCCCCTTAACTTTGGCTTTCTTTGCTTTGCTGCGAGTGTGTCGTGTTTAAGATTTGTCGGGCAACAGCTTGAGGTTTGGCATGCTGGCCTGAGAAAGATCGCGGGTCAAAGCGCCGAGTCCCAAAGCCTCCCGGTTGTCACGAGCATCCAACGAGCAGCCGACTGCACATGGAGGGGGCAGGGGGGGGGGGGCACCACAGGAGCTCATGCTCCACTTTGTCAGAGCAGGGGTTCAGCTGAGCCAGACAGCCCCAGGTGAGACAGACTCTTTATAACAGCAGCCCAGCTTTTTAGCTCAAACACACAAAAAAAGAGCAGCGCTTGCTTGTCACACTACACTCGGGGAGACTCGCTGACAGAGTCTCAGCTGAGATCTCTGACAAATCACAGAAACCCAAACAAAACAAAGTGGATTAACGTGCAGCAGGAAGACAGTGCGGTGGAATAAGAGGGTTACCGGAGGAACTGGCTGAAAGCCTTGTAGTTGGTGATGGTTTTGTAGTCGTCCTCAGTGAAGCCGTATTGAACGTCCTCCAGACCCCATTCATGCATCAGCTGGCTGGATGACTTGGGTTCCTGCAGGGGTGAAGACCAGCTGATTACTWAATAAATCAAAGGTTGCTATGATTCAGGAAATGCATCCTACACGTCAACTTTTATGGTCAAATTAGTTTTTTTTTTTTTTTGGTCAAACCTTGTAAATTAGATACGCAAGCTCAGACAAGACAGCAAACTATCTACTACCACATCAAASTTTAGCTCAGTATCTGTAAATTTGACTAAACACTAATTGGCTGTGGTGGCCATCTTAATTTAACTTGACTTCAAAAGTAACATTTTTATTAAAACAGCATCAACTATGATAGATTTTGCTWACATGACACACGCATGCATGCCCATAAACATTACTGGCCTTTCTCCTTTCATGTTTACCCATTTTATTTCCAGATTAGTAATTTTAATTCTTTACCAGTCTTATCACGGATAGCATAATACAAGTAACTTTGAAATTTGTTTAATATTGGCATGGCATGATATTGAGTCCATGTTGAAATTAAACAAAAAGTTGTTGAAACAACGTTAGGCTTTCAACCATAACTGATACTAGGGATGCACCGATATGAAAATTTTAGCCGATATCGAAATCCGATATAATTATTGCTGTTATGGCTGATAACTGATATTTACCGATATTACACAAACACACAAATTATTTTATACATATACACACAAACACACTTGGGCCTGTTCTTGATACGGTAAATRAACAACCAGACCTCTGACATGGCTCTACTTCAGTTATCCCTGGCTGCGCAGCATCAATATCACTATTATGATCAAACAGATACCACTCKACCAACCATCTCCCCTTCCAAAAGAGAAACTAAAGCTAAAAAGTGGGAAATCAATATCGGACGTTATATCAGCACAGTTTTACATATCGGACCGATATGGATACCCTAAAAAATGACCAATATTGGCCGATACCGATATTAATACCGATATATCGTGCATCCCTAACTACTATATCAATGTTGATTCAACATTGATTAGACGTTGGCATTTCAATAATTAGAATTCAACCATGAAACCTTGATTCAATCAATATCTTTTCAACATTAGTTATTTGACTACAACTGGATGATTGTTTGATGGTTAATTCACCATCAATCGTCGCCTTTAACTAAAAATCAACCTTTTTTGACCATAATTCAACATTGAATTAACATATTTTGTTATCTGGGATGACATATAACACATTTAAAGTTCCTGTGACATCAAATTTTTGCGGTAAATATGGATGCATTTATGAAAAGATAATATCGATAACATATTGCAAAAGAAATTTCATGCCGCTGAGATGAACAGTTGTTGAGATATTTGCATGTGGAGTAACAGGAAGTGACGTCAAAGGGGAATGTTGGCATGTAAACAGAGCCTTGCTACAATGGCTAACAACACAGACTGTAGAGAAAAATCTGATGTTTCATTGGATCATTTTGAGTCACTATCAGGGAGAGATGAAGAAGAGTGAATGTTCAAATAATACTTCAATAAGCAAAGATCAGAGTTTTCTTTAGTTCCCCTTTGATGTCACTTCCTCTTTCGCTGTTACTAGTCAAGTTCAAAAGAAAACATGCCAGTTATGTGACAAAATGGATAAAATGATGTGTATTATGACAAGTTTCTTAATTATAAAGATGTTTTCTTTGACTTTTTGTATTTAAAGGAAAAACGTCACAGGTACAGTACTTTAAACCAGGGGTTCTCAAGCCATTTGGGTCTGGGGTCCCCTTACAAGAGCGAAAAAAAGTCCAGGGACCCCCTCATAAACCCCATGCTGTTTTAAAAGATAATTTATTGTCATTTCAACCTCTAAATGCCATGGGAATATATATTTTTATTAAGATTATATTTGTTTGTTTTATTAGTTCGTTGTTGTGTTTTTAAAAATAAAAACCAAATTAACATTTTAGTAAAAAATTTTGAGGACACCCAAGATACCTCTCGCAGACCCCTGGGGGTCCTTAGACCCCAGTTTGAGAACCTCTGCTTTAAACCACAGATCAAATCTGTTGTAAAATTCATGAATTTGTAGCAGTTTTGCACACATTTTCTGTTTTTTTAAAGCTCTACACATTGCTGAAAATCTGCACAAGTTTGACATATTAGTCCAATAAAAGGAAAGCTAAAGCTATCCAATGCGAAGTCCACTGTGTTCATTTTTAAATCTAAAAGCTTCAGTTTGTATTTACTATAACAGAGCTACATGGCTTTAATAAAGATAAAACTGTGGGTTTTATTGTCACGGAAGTGAGACAAAAAATATGTGATAATAAATCCGGCTCCTCTGCTCCTTGCTTTGGCTTCTGAAGCCGTTTTGTGAGACTCTCCAGAGCCTGGCTGAAAGCAAGCAGCCAGAGTCAGGAGGAGGCTCTAACTGGAGTTCCTGCCATCTTCACAGGTGTCGCGGTCATTAGCTCGTGCAGAAAATAAAAGCTTTTTTTCTACTGGAATCAGCTTTTGAGTCAGAACTGMAGCACAACAGAGAGGAGATTTTAAAGACGAGTCCATTTTTTTTTTTCAAATAAAATGGCTTTAAAGTTTGAAGAACTACTCCGAAATCCTAGACTTACTTTCATGTTGCCGTCATCGTCGTCGTCATCCTCATCATCCTCGTCTCTCTTTTTCTTCCTGGGCTTCTTCTCTTTCTTCTCCTTGGGTTTTTTCTTCTTCTTCTTGGTGAGGCCATAGGCGCTGCTCTCGCTCTCTGAGCCGACCTCCGGGCGTTCTCGTTCCTCCTCTACCTCTGAGACCTCATCCAGGTCACTGTCCACTCGTGTCTGGAGTCCTGCCTGGAGCATCAGACGCAGACAGAGAAAAAAATACTGCAAAAGCCTATTTGAACGTGGTCAGATAATACTCATGATGGGATTTTACTTAACATGGCATTATTTCATAATCCAAATTGTTCAGGTGTTTAGTACGATGGAGTATTAGGGCCACACAATGAGATTTTTTTATTATTGTTACGAGATTAAAGTCGTAATTTTATGAGAATAAAGTCATAATATTACGAGATTATAGTTGTAATATTACAAGATTAAAGTCATAATTTTAGGAGATTAAAGTCGTAATATTACAAGAAAAGTCATAATCATGACGTGTCTATTTCCCGTTTCTCATTTCCTCCTTATTTTCCTCACACCTGCTGTACAGCCATAGAGTAGTCCATGATGACTCATCACTGTTAGATTAATATGTTTTCATCCAAATTAGCTACGACTAAATCCGTCAATGCATCCATTAATTACAATATGGCTTCAGTTTATAGTCATTTGCACAATTTCTAAGTCCTGCTACTGATAATTTGATGCTAAAATGCTAAAAGATTATTTACTGTATTTATAGCAATACTAAAGAACAACTTGACAAAACTTTTTTCTTGTAATATTATGACTTAAATCTCGTAATATTACGA